TGACAACTTCAATCTTTTCTGCATTTATCTGAGGGTTTTTCTTTATGTTGAGGTGTAATCCATACTGAAGGCTGTAATCTTTGATCTGTATCAGTAAGTGCTTCAAGCCCTCTTCACTTTGAGCAAGCAAGGTTGTGTCATCTGCATAACGCAGGGTTTTAATGAGTCTTTTTAGTTATCTTTTATATAAATATTTCTTGGTATACTTAAAGGCAAATGAGATATTATGTTACTGTGTCACTAAGAGTTGACTCTTTGCTTTTATGACTTCAAGGTGTTGGCTTACGTTTTACCTGCCCTTGAGTGTACATGTCCAGTGTAAGTGCACTCAGCTCCTGGACCACTTGTAGTCGGTGTCCCCCGGGTCTTTTTACGATGCGGTCAGATATCAGTATTAAACTAACCAATAAGCTGTGCAGATTGTGCCTGGTTAATAATTAAATTTACAAAAACTAATGATATATATATTTATTGATATATAAAACGCATTGCTGTCGAGTTGATTCCAACTCATAGTTGCCCTGTAGGACATAGTAGAACTGCCCCATAGGATTTCCAAGGCTGTAATCTTGAAGCACTTACTAATGAAGATCAAAGACTACAGCCTTCCATATGGATTACATCTCAACATAAAGAAAACAAAAATGTTCACAACTGGATCAATAAGCAACGTCATGGTAAACGGAGAAAAGATTGAAGTTGTCAAGGATTTCATTTTACTTGGATCTACCATCAACATCCATGGAAGCAGCAGTCAAGAAATCAAACAACTTTTTGTTTATTTAAAAAAAAGCCCATGACTGCCGTCAAACAAGAAAATGGTAGAAAATTGCAACTGTCTTTGGTTACTTAATTTTTAACTTATGCAAGATATGTTTCAGACCTGACATCCATGGCAAGTAGAAGTCTCTGTTTCTCTCTGTCTCTCTTTCTCTCTCTGTATCCCACATCCACCCCAAGAATTCTTTGCTTGAAAAGAAATCTGGTCAAATATCTGCATAAGAAAATTTCATGAAAAATATTTTTCTTTCTTTTGGGTGAGGGGATATACATATAGTAGTTTGTTATATAAATCAAAGATATGCTTTAGACAAAAGAAAAAAGAAACAATTTATCGTGTTGGGCAAATCTGCTGCAAAAGACCTCTTTAAACTGTTTAAAAGTGAAGATGTCACTTTGAGGACTAAAGTGTGCTTGACCCAAGCCATGGTATTTTCAGTTGCCTCACATGCATGTGAAAGCTGGACAATGAATAAGGAAGACCAAAGAAGAATCGATGACTTTGAGTTATGGTGTTGGTGAAGAATATTGAATATACCATGGACTGTCAGAAGAATGAACAAGTCTGTCTTGGAAGAAGTACAGCCAGAGTGCTCCTTGGAAGCAAGGATGGCGAGACTTCGTCTCACATACTTTGGACACATTATCAGGAGAGACCAGTCCCTGGAGAAGGACATCATGCTCAGTTATGTAGAGGGTCACGGAAGAAGAGGAAGATCCTCGACGAGATGGATTTGACACAGTGGCTGCAACAGTGGGCTCAAACATAGCAATGATTGTGCGGATGGCGCAGGACCAGGCAGTGTCTCATTCTGTTGTACGTAGGGTTACTATGAGTCGGAACTGACTTGACAGCACCTGACAACAACAGCAATCTTTACGGAAGCAGATTGCCCCATCTTCCTTCCTCTCAGGGACTTGTGGGTTCTAACCACCAACCTTTAGGTTAGCAGCTGAGCACTTAACCACTGTGCCACCAGGGCTCCTTTATTCGTGTATATCTGTGTGTGTGTGTGTGTGTGTGTGTATATATATATATGTTTGTACGTATATATACACATACGCTATGTTCTACAGTAATTAGGTAGCTATGGTAAACAGTTTACGGAAATGACTTTTATGTAGCTAAAATTGAACTTGAAAAGTATTGCTGGGTTAATTCTCTAGTGTGTGTAAATATTCATTGCTGATATTGGGTGATTCTTTAAAAAACAAACCTGCCATTAAGTCAGTTCTGGCTCATGGCCACCCCATGTGTTTCAGAGTAGAACTTTTCAGAGTAGGGTTTTCAGTGGCTGTCTTCATTTAGAAATAGGTCACCAGGCTTTTCTTCTGAGGTGCCTCTGGGTAGATTTAAGCTGCCAACCTTTTGGTTAGTAGCCAAGCACTTAACCATTTGCAGCACCCAGGGACTCCTGGATGATTCTTCCCCAGTACTGAAAAAACAGAACTTGACTCTCAGTAATTACAATACTTTCTAGTCTGGACTCCCCATGTTCAGTGCTAAGTCTCCCACTGTTTCTTCATTTCTGTTCCCTAAAGGGTTGTGATCAGTATTTGTTTTGGCAAACAGTTATTGACCACCAGGGCAGAAACCTAGGTGAGGAGGCAGGCGAAGACAGACTCAAGGAAGGTAGTGAGGGGGCTGTGGCTGGGTTTAGGTTGTGATTATAGCTGGAGAGGAGCCCTGGTGGTGCAGTGGTTAAGAGCTCGGCTGCTAACCAAAAGGTCAGTAGTATGAATCCACCAGCTGCTCCTTGAAAACCCTGCGGGGCAGTTTTACTCTGACCTATAGGGTCATTATGAGTCAGAATGGACTCGACAGCAATGCGTTTGGTTTGGTGTTATGGTTGGAGAGTATCGATATGATGAACGTGAAAATGAGCTCTTAGGCTCCCAGATTCTTAGAGAGGATGGGATGGCAGTGGGTTTAGGGGCTGAAGAGAAAGGCAAACCTCTTCTCATTCAGGCAGGGAAGGGCAGAGAGAGATGCTTAGAAAAACCAGAGAAAGTGGCCAAGGAGGTGCTAGGCCACAGGCTCTCGGCAGAGGTCTACCCAGACCTGTGATGTCCCTTGGCAGCTGCCTTCCTTACCGCTCTGGGAACAGGCACCCCATTCTTCTTCTGCTCTAGAAGGTGGGGAGAGAGAATTCTAAGCTTATGGACACTAAGAGATTTCTCTGCCTTTGGCAAAACTAACAGCCAGTGTGCCTACACTGCATTAACGGTAACTGGAAAGGGGCAAGGTTAGGAGGGCTCTGGACTCATCTGCGTAAGAATGAGTGAAGGACAGAGGCTGGTGACTCACTAGACACAAATTCCACCCACTTCAAAAGTTCTTCCTATTCATTTCAACTGTGTAAATTCAGGGGACAACTCGGGCATTTTGGCAGTAGGGCAGTTCTGTAAGTGTGACTTAGAAGGAATATAATTATTATTACTTTTGAAAAATCAAATTTACCTTTAATCTTACCTTTTTGTTCGTGTAGCCAAAAGAAGACCCAGAGAGTGTCACTTCTCTTTGAAGACGATGCTGACAGTGGAGGCTTTCTGCTTGCCTCTCCTTCCACGTCTGTTCCTCCTGCAGCAAAGGTACTCTTCACCTCTTAGACCCAGGAGATAACCCCTGAGCTTGTGTTAAATGAATGGTGCTGCTTCCTTGAGTCAGCTCTTTTGACTTCAGTTTGTAGGCCAAGTCTTTATGGAAAAACTCATTTGCCTAGTTTAGAAAGAGGTCTGGTAACGGTGTTTTATGGATGAAGCAGAGCCTAGAAGAAGGATTCCTCTGTGTTGTATGGCCGTTCAGTGTCAGATGTAGGGACGAGAAACCGGAGCCTCGGGGAAAGCGTTGCCCCAGTTCTCAGGGGAATTTCCAGTCTAAGCCCCTGTTCGCTTGTCCATTCTGCTGGCATTACACTAGGCCAGTTAAGGCACAAATTATGCCTTTTAGGGTCATATTTCAAACACTAGGTCTTTGGCCCTGATTTATATAAACAGATATTCATTGACTCCATAGCCTAAGTACCCTTCCAGTGATTAAGTCTGAATGACATCGCTACCACAAATCATCTAAACTAAAAAACTCACTTATCCTTGATGTTGAAAACAAACAGTTGCTGTTGTGTCGACTCCAACTAATGGCGACTCCATGTGAGTCAGAGTAGAACTTTGCTCCATGGAGTTCAGTGGCTAAGTTTTTCCAAGTGGCACCTTTGGATGGCCTTGAACCTTCAGTCTTCTGGTTAGCAGTTGGGTTTGTTAACCATCTGCACCACGCAGGGACTCCCATTCTTGATGTTAGTTATATCAAAAAGGTGTGTTAAGGGATGAGAGTAAGATGGCATTATAATATTCATCCAGGGAACCAAGCATATTGGAATCATGTCTGGCCCATCAATTCTTCCTCCCCAACACATTCCCTATGTGGGTGGGTGGGTGTATGTGAGTATATGCACATGGAACAAAGTGAGGCCAAGTAGTATTTTATTGCCAATTGGCAATTGCTAACAGCCTTAAAGGGAATTTCATAGGTTAAACTCTATGGAGACCTCCTTTACCAAAGCTGGGTTAGCCTGAAAGGCCGAAAATCAGAGCAGACTCAAAAGCCTGCTGGGACTGTTTTCAACCACAGCCTCAGACCACTCTAGCGTAATAACGTGTTAAAAGTAGAAAGATGTGCCAGACAGGGATGGAGGAATGAGCCCTGGGGCCTCCTCCCATGTGGGAGCAGCCACAGAGTCCAGAAGGGCAGAAGATGATCTTGCCTCTCCCACCATGGTGACCCTGATAAAGTCCCTGACACCTGCACAGCCCTAGGGATTCCTCCTCAGGCCTTCTTTGGGCTCTGGGCTTACCTCTTCTGCTTCTGAGATGCTCATAATCGTCTCCTGGAATCATCTGTACATGCTCTGTGGTTAAAAGAGAAGACTGGATTTTGTTTTCTTTGTAAATTATAACTACTAACTTCTACACTGGATAAATAAGAACTAATGTAGTGAATTTTGAAGACTTTAGAAATGTAAAACTTCTATCAACCTGTGATAATTATGATGGTTAAATAAAAGGCCAAGACATACATCTGAGTATCTAAACAACCTACACGCATGGTTTTCAGCATTTGTGAAGTATAATCACCATCAGACAACAGTAGAAAAAAGATATTTTCTGTTTAGTGACCGTAGAATATTTTAAACTGAGTTAAAATGTGACTCATGTAAACCTATTTAGAAAATAAATTTTTACATGGCGCTATAGTCAGAAGCACCATGCCATCCCACTGCAGCAAAGATCACAAAAACTAAGTCAAACAGTCACACATCAATCCTGAAACCCTAAGCATCAAGCGAAGAGATAAAGAACTCAGCCAGGCACCAGATGGAATAAGAAACTGACCGAGAATAGAGAGCAAGGAGAGATACATGCAGAGGTCCCCTATCAGCTAACATAGCACGGATCTGCCATCTTGGACTCCTGTTGGTGATCAGTGAACAGGGGGTATGAGAAAGCAGCTTCGTGGAGCTTCGAGCAGGAGACGGAACGACCGGTAACCAGCGATATAGGCTTTCCCACCTCCACCCTTCTTCAACCTCACTTAGCCGCCTCTGCTTCCTGCAGTCACAGTCTCTTGGCTGGGAAGCACCAGCTTCACCCCGGTGTCACTTGAATTCCACCTGCCTGAACTGGCCGGCTCCCTGAGCGCATTTTGTTCGCTGTTGGTATTGCTTTTTTCCACTTCTTTAGATTTCTTCCTTATCTCTCACCACCTCCCCCTCCTTTCTCCCAAATACCTGGCTCCATGCGCTGTCTTTGCTTCTTTCTGAAAGCCTAGGAAACACCACTTGACTGTGAAACTGCTTCCCGGCCCATGCCGCCACGCAGGTGGGACCCCCTGGGGGCTTTTTTGTTTGCTCTGATTTGTTCTGTTTGTTTTCTTTTTATTTTCTCAGCTTGGGAGCCCCTTCTACCCGGGCTGTACTGCGTGACTCAGAAGCTACTCCCTTACTCTGCTCAGGTGCACAGGGAATCCCCTGGAGGCATTTCTTTTTTCTTTTTTTTTTGTTTCTTTGTTTTGTTTTTGTCTCTCTGTTATTCCGTTTTTGTCTTTCTTGATTTCCAGTTACATTTATTCATTTTTTTTCTTTTACCCTTTTTCTTTTCTTTTTCATTTTTGTTTTTCCCCATTTCTCAGTCTCTCATCTCTCCACTGCAATAGCAAGCTCCCTTAGCAGTCTTTTTTGTTTGTGCATATGTTTTTGGCTCCTGTTCCTCTCTGCTCTTTCCCATACCCATCTTAGCTTCACACATCACAGTCTCCCTGCTCTTTCCTGCCTACCTGCACCGTGTGCTGAACATCACACTCTGAAGCAGCACAGGCGTGTCCTACTGGAACCTGCCCTGCACTGATTCCGAGTCCACACTATCAGCCCTAGTATGTGCCACAAACAACGCATCCCAGCAACTCCCCTTCAGCTGGAGTTGCCCTGCTGTACCATACCTGAGTGACTGACCCTGCCCATTGGAGAAGGAGGTGAAAAGTATCATGCCCACAGCCAAGCAGACGACAACGCACAGCCCGCCTGCTCAGGCATAACCAAATAAAACAAAAAAGCAGGATGAAACAATCAAATCTACAGTCAGTAAACGAGGAAAATAACTACTGAATGCCCCAGAGACAGCAGACAGTATCAAAACATTTACAAAAACAGGACAGGATGGT